GTTCAAGGGGCTATTACAGTTAAAGACAATTTTTAATTTTTTTAATACAAAGAGTTGTTGCTCTAAGTTGTTAACACAAAGAGTTCTTACCCTATATTCTTAATACAAAGAGTTGTTGTCCTAAGTTACAAAGAGTTATTATGACAACTCTCTTTCAACCCTATAACTCTCAAGTACAAATTTTGTCCACATTTTGTGTGTAGAGACATTATGAGTATAGTACTAACAGGTGATCTAGTAGATATTTTTATGTCTTTCACATACAAGACTGCTTTACCACTGTACTGTAGGCAATCAAAAAAAACTCTCAATGCAGATTGGTAGAGTTTTTAAATATTTCCTAAAAAGTTACTTATTATTAGGCTAATATGTAAATATGTTTGCTATGACTTTTGGACCAAATATCTTTTATATAAGACTTTTTTGATTTTTTTGCAGATGCAAAATTTTGTAAGAAATTATATTTAACATCTAAGTTTAAAAAAAAATTTGAATTTAGGGTGTTCTTGATTGGTAGGGTAATGTAACATAACTGCATTGTTTGTTGCGATTCTCTTTTGTTCCTCTTTCTAACTATAAATTACAAAACAAATTTTTTCCAAAACACAACAATTGAACTTGTTACTTTATAAGTAAGTATTTCCAGGTTTAACCCTTACTAAGTCTCATGTAATACCTCACAAACTTGATTCTGCAAGCAGTGGTCTTGCTTCTCCAAACAGTAGTCATGCTTCTCCATGCAGTGGTCTTCTTTGTCAAGACTTTTGCTACAGAGTTAAATGGTTAAGAGATGGTTGCAGCAACAATTTAATAAAAAAAAAAAAATAGTGAATAATAAAAATATTAAGCAATAAAAGACATTGAATTAAATACAATTTAAATTTGAAAAAAAATTAAAAAACTTTCTTTTCACTTCTTACATGCATTGCTTTATATTGTTTATGATATTCATACATAAATTGATTGTTTTGTGTTCTTACATAAATTGATTGTTTATATACATAAATTAATAATAATATACATAAATTGATTGTTTTGTGTTATATTGGTTTGTGTTTTTTTAGATCATGATCACAACAGTTACAATAAAAATCATTTTTTTGGAGCTGAACGACGAAAAATCAATCATCATGTTTATGGTATATTTCAGATTAGATCAATGTTAAATAATAAAAAGTTATATGTAAAAGAAATATGATTTATAATATTATATTTAGATTACCATTAAACTAATAAATAAATATAAAAAAGATAAAAGATTTAGTTTCCTGTTTATAAAAAGTTACAAATAAGTCTAAAATCAATAAATTGAAGAAAAAGATTTATTTTAGTTTATGTATTGACATTTTTTTATTAACAAACATATTTTTTTACAAGCAGAAAGTTATGTTCAAAACATCATAAATTTTGAGGTTAAAATAATTATGTAGTTTATTTTGAAATTATTAACTTTTTCCTCTTCTTAAAATCTTTTTATTTTATTTTTTTTTTTGGTAAAAACTGGATTTAGGTGCACATATAAATATTAAATCATGCAGAACAAAGTATTTTAGTCTCAAATGTGCAGTAGCTTATGATACAAAAAATAGTTATAATGGTTAGCAATTATAATTAAATAATAACGATATGCATAGATTACTATTATTGTGAATACAAATAAAAAATGAAGAATATTCTGTAAATTCTGTTTTATAATCAATGTTTTTTGGATTTTTTCTTTGTCAAGAGAGATAAAATTCTATGGATTTTCTTGTTGTCAAGAGAGATAACATTCGATGGATTTTCTTGTGGCATAAAGTATAAAGTTTTATAATATATTATAGTAATATTTTATAATAGAATTTAATAACTAATTTTATAATATTATTAAATATTATACAATATGTAATTCTATAAAATAATATTTTACATTATTATTTAACACATTACTGTTATTATATTATTTATTTTTATTACTAATATAATTTTTTTTTTCGATATAATAATTGTTGTTCTGCTAACTCTTTGCAAGAATATTGTTGTTCTGCTAAGTCTTCATAAGAATATTATTGATTTGTTTTTCTTTTTTTTAAAAAACCATTTAAAAATATTTTTACTAAATTTTTTCTGTTAAGTATCATTGATACCTATAAATATTGTATTTTCATTAAATTCTAAGTTCATTAAAATATATTTTTTATATGACTAAGAAAAACTAACAGTTATACAATGCCTTGTTAATTTTTTAATCATACTAGGCTATACCAGTGATGATAAAATATATTTAGTTTTCTGTGGTATATTTGTGTGACAAAAAAAAAAAGTTTTATTTTTTAAAAAACTTTAACTTCACTTACTTAAATGTTCATTAATTTTAACTGATTGTTTAATTTACTTTTGGGGTTTTATTTCCTTCTATTTATTTTTATTTAAAAGTAAAAATTTTTCAAATAAATATTATGTTTGTTTTTACTAATTGTTACTAAATATAGTTATTAAATATACTAAATATAGTTGTTTTAATACATATTTTTTTTAATTTAAGAACCAAGTAACTCATTGAAATATCATAGCAACAAAAAGAGTTTTCAAGAAAGATTTCATGAAAATCTACGACCAATGTCAGAGTTCAGAAAACATGGCAATAAGTGGCAATTTGGTCCTGGACCTAATCACATAGCTTTTCCATCAAGAATGAGTGATGATTTACATGGCAAAGGCAGTAGTTTGCGACCTTTGTACGGAATGACTACCCATGAGGGTGAAGATGATGAAGATTTTAACAGTCCTGAAGGTGATTCACTTTATCACTTATTGCATATTTTACATTTAGACATAAAATAAAAATAAAGTTTAATTAGTAAAAAATAAGAAATAATGTTGTCACAAAAACTAATATAAATAAAAATAGTTTAATAGAATGAAATAAAAAAAATTTAAAAAGTTTTAAAAAAGTAAGAAAGAGTTCTAAAAAATTATCAATTTGTTTATACTTCTACATATTTGCATATTTTATTTATAATGTAAATTTGTAAGTTAGAATAAAAGATATAGGTATGCAATATAACATTTATAATAATAATAAAAATAGTTATATAATAATAATAATTATTAATAATAATAACAATAATTATTATTATTATTATTAACCTAACACAGTGGGTCAGAATTCCGGTTTTTGAGACAAAAATTCATAACTTTTAGTCATATGTTCACCAAACTTGGCATGTTTACTTATATAAGGTCTGTCTTTTATGAAGGTAATATTTTCGTTGTTTGGTCGCTATGGATACCTAATTTGCATAACAACCATTGATTTATTATAAAGTCAGTTTGAGACAAAATTATTATTTTTTTAAACTATTGACATTTTGATTGAACTATTGACTTGATTGACTATTGTAACAAATGTTGCTACACATATTAAATGAGTTATGTAATTTGTAAAGGTATTATTTTTATGAATTGTTTTGTTGCTTTAGACACCAAATTTGCATAGCGACAATAACATTCGTTTTGTTATAATAGTTATTGTAAATATATAAGTTTAGTCCTAGCCCTACACTACATACTAAAATAGTTTATTCATTGGTATCAACTTTGTGCCATTTTGTTAGCAACTTGGTAACAAAATAACTGTAGCTTGTTAGGATGAATATTGAATCCAGATGAGAGCGTTACCAGAATGATATGGGTATTCTTGGTAAAATTAGTATCCAAATTATTTATTGCACAGACTTCTTTAGCTCTCTGAAAAAATCATCTTCCAGTGTTTCCATCATTGCTTGTTCCAGACCTACCGGACTTTGGCAAGTCAACAACAAAACAAACTTCATTTTTTAGTCTTATTTGAATAATTTTTTTCCTTTCAGCTACAGAAGCCTTATCCACATCATTTCAAGATGCCATTTTTTTTATTTTAAGATTGTAGCTAATGTGTAAGCAATATTTTATGCACCTGATATAAAACATTTTATGAGTATTAGATAGGCTAACAGCTAATATAAATTATTTATTAGATTGAATGTTTTTAAAAACCAAATCCAGGCATGAAATCCATATTAAAAACTAGAAGGTACAGCCATATTTTTATCACTTCATCAACATTGTTTATTTTAGTGGGTTTTGTAGCACAAATAAGGCAACATTGATGATGTCATATATGAAAGTAAGGTAGCAACTTTTCCATCCACCATTATAATTTCAAGAACTGTAGGCTGCAACTGATCTTGCTTGATGAACTGCACTTTTTTTTGAATCAACAGTCTCTTTAATAAATTGAAAGGGAACTGGTGGCAGTAATGAGTTGATGATGACTTGTCATTCAACCAAATCACATGTTTTACATTACTGTAATTTTGCTGATCTTCATTGAACAAAGCTTTATAGACAGTATCACAATTTTTGCCAGGTTCTTGAAAAGAAAGTTCATTTTCCCTAATATATTGAAAAATATTTTTCTACTTCATGATGACTGGAAACTAATTCTGTAATAGATATAATGACATATAAAGCACGTTAATGTTGTTTATTGATTATTTATTATCATATTAACACATGCTGCTATATATAATATAGGTTTAAAATATTATTTTACTAAATCTCTTGCTTTAGTCCGCATTAAAACACAATTTTGTCAAACATGCTTATTATAATGCTTAATATTAGTCAGAGATCCAAATAATAAATTAATTAATAAATTAAAAAATAAATTAATTAGAGAATAAAAAAATAATCAGAGTTGGAATTCAGACAAACTTTATTTACAAAAATTTATTTTAAAAAATGTTATTACTTTTGATATAAAAAAATCTGACCAAATAATTAAAAAATATCAAAATATTGTCAATGATGGTTTAATATGTATATATATATATATATATATATATATATATATATATATATATATATATATATATATATATATATATATATATATATATATATATATATATATATATATATATATATATATATATAAATTTAAGTTATAAATAGTTTTTCTATATAAATATTTATTTATTTTATCTATATAATTAGTCAAATATTTCTATACAAATATATTATTTTATTTTATATATTGTTTACTTTATATATATAACTATTTATTTTATATCTATAATTAGATTTCTTAAAAAAAATTTTAATAAGCATAATTAAATCTGACACCAGCTTTGACTGCTCACAACTGCTAACATAACCACTACATCATTCTAAAAATAAAAGTGAACTAAAGTGTGAACTAAGTGTGAATATAAAAATAAAAATGAAGTATAGTGTGAACAAAGTGTGAAATAAAATGTGAATAAAATAAAAGTTTAAATGATTTTAGTTTAACATTAAGAAAATTTTTTTTTTTTTTTTTAATTATTCACCTCCCCAAGGCCCGAGGGGGTCACTACAGTCGAGGAGGCTACTCATTTTTTTTATTTTTTTTTATTTTTTGTTGTAAATCATGGTATAACCCTCTCTCAACTCTTTAACTCCGAAACACGAACCTTGACAAGCAAGACCGCTGCGCGGAGAAATTAAGTTGAGCGCGGTACTTCCAGGGACGTGGTGGGAGTCGAACTCCGAACCTCTCGCTTTCAAAGCGAGCGCTCTTACCACTACACCACTACTGCATAAATGAGATTGTGATATTTATATTTTTTATTTATTTGTCTCTGTATCTTGCTTAACTTAACAAAGCAAAACTAAAAAATGCAATTTGAGTATAAATTATTTTTGCTGATTAAAAAAATTACATCCACTTAATAAGTCTATTTGCATACAATATATTTTATAGTCAAAAAATACTTTAAAATCATTATATAAATAACTCAATTTAAAATCACCATAAAAATAAGTTTTTAATCTCATAAAAAAAGTTAAATTTAAAAAAGTGAAGAAATAACACCAAAGTAAGTTTTTAGACTTAAAATATAAAAGCATTAAATAAAAATATCTTTCAAAATATTTGTCAGGTGTTTATTGTTTTATTTAATTTTTGGCACTTTACACTTCCTAAATTTAAAAAAAAAACATAAGTTTAATTTAAAATATTGTTTTGCTAAATGTGAGTAAAAATCATAAACAAGATCCCTTTAAGGTTGAAAAACATAATATCGTTTTGTTCATACTTATACTTTTTTTTAGATTATTTTTTTAATATTTTTTTATTTACCAGGTATACCGGTATGAAATGAGCGTTTTTTGTGAAAATAAAACACTAATTATTAATGGGAAAGTATAAAACATTTTAATCAAAGTATTGGCCATTGTTTTCTACACATTTTGACCACCTTTCTGGCAATTTGTGGATACCACGCCAATAAAATTGTTCGTTTTTTAAAGCAACCAACCAGACACTTAATTTTCGACCTCCTCGTAGGAATCAAAGTGCTGCTCAGCCAATGCGTGTCCCATCGATGAAAACAAATGGTAGTCGGAAGGAGCCAAGTCTGGTGAATACGGCAGGTGGGGTAGCAGCTCCCAGCCAAGTGTTTTGATTGTATCCTGAACCGGTTTTGCTTTGTGTGCAGGTGCATTGTCATGGAGCAAAATTTCCTTGCCGTGTCTTCTGGCCCATTCTGGTCGTTTCTCGATCAATGCATGGTTCAAATTGATCATTTGTTGTCGGTAGCGATTAGTATTGACGGTTTCACCAGGTTTTAGGAGCTCGTGGAACACCACACCTTTCTGGTCCCACCAAACACACAGCATTGTCTTCTTGCCGAATCGATCTGATTTTGCAGTCGATGTTGATGGTTGTCCCGGATTAACCCATGATTTTTTCCGTTTAGGATTCTTAAAATAAATCCATTTTTCATCGCCAGTAACAATCCGATGCAAAATCGATTTTCTTTCGTGTCTTCGAGCAAAATTTCACAAGTGTTTTTTCGGTTTTCCGTCTGTCTTTCATTCAATTCATGTGGCACCCATTTTCCACACTTTTGGATCTTTCCCATAGCTTCTAAACGGTCAGAAATTGTTTGTTGTGCAACATTTAACATTTCTGCCATTTGCTTTTGACTCAAAGTGTCATCTCCATTCAATATCGTTTGCAATTCGGCGTCTTCAAACTTTTTTGGTGGTCTTCCACGTTCTTCATTTCTCACATCAAAATCATTATTTCTGAACCGTTGAAACCATCTTTTGCATGTTACTTCTGATAGAGCATGATCACCATATGCCTCGACAAGCATTCGGTGCGACTCTGCAGCACTTTTTTTCAAATGAAAACAAAAAATTAATGCTTTCCGCAAATCATCACTTTCCGGTACAAAATTCGACATTTTTAACACGATGAAAAAATATGATGTTGTCTGTTCAATGACTTGATGTATACTAAATATGTTTCACAGATGTCATAGCAAACAAACAAAAAAAAAATAAAGGCTCGTTCACAACAAATGTTCCCTATCGAGACATTTGTATCTTGACGCTCACTTCATACCGGTATACCTGGTAACGTGGTTTTTATTCTTATAAGAGAATTTATTTATTTTTTGCAATTTATTTTTTAATTGTTTATTTGTAGATAAACAGAACACATACTGATAACAAGACACATTGATAACCGGACGCGTACCGATAAGAGTATATATCTACTTTTTTTATCCTACATTAATATTTGTAAATAAATATACAATCACTTAATTGTTAAAGTGAAGAAATAATTGAAAAAGAGAAGTTATGAAAAAAATTGAAGCTGAAATAAATTTTTTTTCGAAAATTGTAGCTGAAAAAAATACTTGGAAAAACTCTGTTTGACTATAATATTACGCTGTCGCTTGCGCCACGGCGCGACGTCGCTTTAGTTTTTTTCTTAAAGTCATGGTAGTGATTTCTGATTGGTTAATTTTTTTTTTCCTTTTATTTAAAGAATTCCCAAACCAAAACCCTTAATGGATGTATGTGCGCTCTACTGCGCCTATTCCTAAATCAGTTGATGAACATGTGCTCCACTTCGCCTATCCCTAAATCACTAGATGTATGTACACTTACTGCGCCTATCCCTAAATCAGTGGATGTATTTACACTCACTGCGCCTATCCCTATATCAGTCGATCTATGTAAATTATAAAAATAAATGTAACTTTCAATATACAGCAATAATAATGACTTTCAATAAAAAATAGCTAAAAAAACATTTAAAAGCATTTTTCTTAGTGAAGGGCTTGATCCCGGATCACCGTGGAAGATGAATTAAAGTGCTAAACATACAATGTAGAATTGCAATTCTTTTTAAATTTGTACAAATAAAACTTTCAAAATCAACCAATAATATTCGTAGCCGTGACTTAAAATAAACCAATCAAACTTTACTACCGTGACTTTAAAATTAAAGCAACAGTACCGTTGTACTAGCCACAACGTAATATTTAATGAAAATCAAAAACATTACTGAAAAAAAAGTTACTGTAAAAATGTTTTAAACATTGTTTAAGACTTGACATTGTTTGTGTTTTTCTAAAATAAAAACTTCTTTAAACCTTTGTTTTCATGCATACAAAAACTTTGTTTCGGTATGTATGAAAAGCGGTTTGAATTTGGAAAATTTTTATAAATAAAAATTTACTTTTTTAATCTTTAACTGACAGGAAATTTAGATTGAATTCTATGTTGTTTTATAAATATGAGTTAATAGCAGTAGTGTGATATCACTAGTATTAATCACTTGTATTTGTAAAAATATATTGCATATATACGATGTATAAAATTATATATTGCATGAATTAAAACATTTTATCTTGGGTTTAAACAACTATTTGTTCTGTCACAACACTAGAAAGATAGCCATTAAAATTTTGTTCTCAAAATAAGTTGCAATACTTGTTGCATTGCTTGTACTTATTGAAAATTTTGACTATAACAGTGAAATGAAAATAGAAGTAATTTTTATTTAAAATTTTTTAATTGTTCAGATTCTGATGGCTAAATTCAATTAGCCAAATTGAGCTACCAGTCACGATATAGCTATCATCACTAGGGGTGATGGTAGCTATATCGGCAGATATAGCTACCATTAGATGTTAGTAGATTAATGAGTATTTTATATTAATCGATTAACGATTAAATTTTCAAAAACTAATCGATTAATCAGTTAATTTTCAATTAATTTTAGGAAAAATGTGTTTATAACTTAACAAAAAGTAATTTATATTTTTTATGATTTTATTTCTCTTTTTATCAGATATGATCTTAAAAAAACATAAATTATTAGCAGTGTCATCATTTAAGCTAGTTCTTAAATTAGTGACAAATAAACCAGCTGCACTAAAACTTCATTTTGCTTCTATAGAAGACGGGGGAAGACTTAGCATGGCATTATAAATCTTTTCTAAAGAACTTGGCCTGTTTCGAGTGCTTTTGAGTACTGCAATTTCACGTTTAATGCAAGTCAAAACTTCTTGAGGGGAAGACTTACAAGTTAACTCTTTAGTTTTTCCTGCTGCTGAAGTTGTATTAGATATTATTTCTGCTAATTCTTCAGCTTTAGTTTTTTTCTTAATGGTTCTGTTTTACAAGTAGACTCAGACTCATATGCTGCTTCTACTTACTTGTGTAGAAATAAACGTAGGTATATTTCTCTAGCTGTTTTAGAAATTTTATTTTTGTGTGGGTATTTCAAAAGATCTGGAGATTCTGAGTCTGATTTATAGTCAGCTGGGTTATGTAAAAAGCACGGTAAACCAGCAATATTACAATATCTTCTTTCGACAATTCTCTCCGAGACAACAGTAAATAAATTTTGACCAATGTTAGTATTTTGTTCTTTAAGATTTTGTAGTAAAAACAAAAATAATTTTATCAGATTTTATCAGATCACAGTCTCTTTTCCCTTGTTCCATAACACTTAACTCTACAACATGTAGAGCCTGAAACAATATCAGAAATGTGTTTTATTTCTTCTTCTTTTAAAATTAAATCTGTTCTAGGTATATCAACAAGCCTTTGCAATAACATTTTTTAACTTTAAGAATCGTTTTAACATACTTATTAGAGAATTCCATCTTGTTTTAGTATCCAAAATAGGCTTAAGTTCTTTTCCTAAATCTGTTCTACAAATATTATAAGACTAGAAATCTAGATAACACTAGAAAAGAAATTATTATTTGTTATAATATGCATTTTGTTAATTCAGTATCTAAGTATAACTTTGAAAAAACCTGAATGATTTTGTGAACTTTTTATTAAAGTTTTTTTTTTTAATTTTGAAAATATCAATGGCTCAATAAAATAAGTTTTATTGAGGCTTCAAGTGCATACTGGTGTGTCAGTTGTTAAATATGTATTTTTTCAATTCCATACTTTTTACGTTTTAAGTTTTTTGCAATAAATGTATATTTTTAAAACGATGTTTTTTAATATTTTAGAGAAATATGCTAATGATGAGTATGAACGACCAGATGTTCATCCTCGAGATTTACCAGACCAAAAAAACTCACGCCGTGGTGTTAGACCATGGTTTGTTCCATCAAGTAGATATTTAACAAATGAATATCATCATATACGAAAATCACCTCTTCAGTTTTTCCACACACACGCTGATTCAACAGAAGGTGAGGGGCATCATTATGAGTTTCACCAAGACAATCACGATGAATATAACCATGGTATATATCTGCTGATTTTATTACATTTTAATTGCAATTTTATTACAACAAATAAAACGTAAATGTATTTACATAATTATTTATATTGTATTTATTATATTGTATTATATTTATTTATATTGTATTATGTTAAATTTTCTTATATTATGTTGGCTGAAAAGAAATAAACATTTTTTCAAAAGATTTAATTACACTTTTTTTTAACTTCATAACTAATCAGAACAACCTTTAAATTTTTTTTCTTTTTTTTTATTTATCTCCCCGAGGCCGGAAGGGCCACTACATTCAAGAAGGCTACTTTATTATGATTGTTACCGAAACAAGAACTTTGATGAACAAGGCCGCTGCGCGGAGAAACAAGTTAAACGCGGTACTACTTTAGGACGTGGTGGGGATCGATCTCGGAACTTCTCGCTTATAAAGTGAGTGCTTTACCACTTCACCGTTTCAGCAATTAATAGTGGTTGAAGTGCAATATGGCGATAGGCATTTTTTTAATGAAATGAGCAGCCCAGTTTCATGAGCAGTGCATAAACAAGAGCTTCGTGCAGGTGTCTGTTTGCTAATCAGCTGACTAGCATTCAGTTGGTGTGGTATGCAAAAATTTTAATTGACCTAATAGGCCATTTCACGTTTTTTATATACTCAAATTATGAAAACATTTGAAGCTTCTTGAACTTTCTTGGTATTTTTAGAAAAGTTGCTTATTGCTTTTTAGCTAACCTAATATTTGTATTTATTATGTAAACCTTTTTTTTTTAATTGCATTATTTTTTTAACTTTTATTATATTTAAATGTTAAAACTAATGTTTTCTCAATTTTTAATGAGTATCCGAGTACCACTTATAATAGAATGGAAGTTTGAGTGATTTGGATGCACTAGTGTGGTAGTTAGCGGAGTCACTTTAATGAGCTCACTTTCTTGAGGCCCTTAAAAAAGCAAGTTTAAGACAAAAAAATAAAATTGATTTTTTTTAAGAAATTGATTTAAAAACAAGTAATATCCAGCAAATAAAATTATTAAATAAAAATTCAATCAAATATTTTATGCAATTATTTAAAGAGGATAATTCATTTATGTAATTATGCTAATATGAAATTATGCTAATATAATATTATCATAATTAGCATAATTATGATAATATTATTGTATGATTTCATTATCATACAACTTGTAGTTTTATATGTCTGACTAAAATTAGTCTTTTTGCTCAATTAGGAGCTATACGTGGATTTAATCATCATTATCGTTTGGATCACCTTCTTGATACTGACCACTCTCATCACGAAGCGTTTCTTCATCATGATGACGAAGATCTTGAAATTCATCACACTGATAGCGGGTAATTAAATTTTACTCACTTTCATTATAGTTTTTTAATTATATTTTTATAATTGTAGTCTTAAGTATCTAAACCATGCAGGTGTTATACATTCACTGAAATTGTTCAAAATTTTAGCGCATTTTTTGTATTTATTTATTTATATTTACGTTTAGAGCGGTTGGTGACGTTGATGACAATACTGAAGGAGAGCAAAGATCTTTTCGTGACAAAAATCATCGTTTAAAAAATCATCCTTTTGAAAAAGTTTATTCTAAAAGTACAATAGACAACAAACGTTGGGGAGGTAACCGTCGCCATTTCACTAAATATGATTGCAGGGGAATAAGAAACTGTCAAATGAACGAAGACGAAAATAAAGTTTTAGACAGTTTATTTTCGTCTCCTTATTTTTCTATGAACGATGATCATCATGATGAATATAAAGATGAACAAGTCTCTTCTTTGGTGGGTCCTTATGGACATAGAAAGTTTTTAAATGACCAGCAGGATATAACAGATAAAGAAGAAAGAAGTTTATTGGCTTCAAGCGCTAATTCATTGCCTATTAAAGAATACACTTCAAAAAAATTTAACAACATGGATATGTTTGGAAGATATCGATTTATTGAAAAGCGTAGTAAGACAAAGTTCACTAATCCAAGAATAATTAAAAATTTATTGGCAAAGAATCTAGATCAGGAGCCCCAATTAAGTGCCAATGCTAGTTCAGGTGGTAATCCTTTCGGTAACACAACTAAAATGTTAAAAACAAATTTAAATAATAAACTCTATAAAATAACAAAAGTAAACGGAACAATTGCCTATTTAAAAAAAAAAACTACAAGAGAAAAAAATTCCATTAAAGGTAAAAAAAGTATTCATAAATTTTATTTCTACAAAACAAACAGTACAATTCTAACAAATTTAGAAAAAAGAAATAAGGAGAAAAAGAAGAACATCTCACATCGTTTAAAACAAAGTAGCATGAACAATGGTGTTGGTAAAATCGTAAAGGTTTTGGTTCACTCAAATCAAAGTAAAATTACTATTGGTTTCAACAATAAGACACATAACTCACTTCTTGCACACAAAAAACATAATAGTTTTGGTACCATTAAAAGCCAAAGATACAAAGATTATAATAACGAAGAAGATAAAAACGAGGATTTTGAAAGTCATCGCATTGAGAACCACGATGAAAATGAAAAAAGCTCTGATTGGAACCATAACGAAGATATGTTGCCAGCAGGTTATTTAAATGCTGAGCATCATGGTTTGTATAAAAAGCTTGACCATGAAAAAGGCGAGTTGTTAAATCTTTTTGACGATGTATCTGAAAAAAACTACGGTAGCGAGAAAATGGAAGAAAGATTTTTAGAAAAAGCCATTGGTTTAACGAACACGTTGTGGGGTTTAAACAAGCGAACTAACTTAAGTAGTCATAAAGAAGCTGTTGAGTTGAAAAAGCGAAATGATGTGGACATAAAATCCCAAATTAATGTGAAAGAAAATCATGTGGCTGTACCTAAACGGAATAACTTTAAAATGTTGAAACCTGAAAACGCTTTTTTACCGAATGAAGATGACGTTTTACCGATTCAGTATCTTAGTTACGAGAAAAACTTTATTAATCAACGAATTGGAGATGAGAACAAAGCCGTCAAGCTTTTGTTTGAACGAATTTCACGAGCTAATAATGGCAATTCCGAACCTGAGAAAATATTTTTGAAGAAAATGATTCGCCTAAGTGGTACTGATTGGAAAACAGGGGATATAGGTAGAAAATACAAATTGAACTTTAAGCGATCAAATCCTGGTCATCTTCGCCGAGATAAAAATTTATCTTTAACAAAGCGATTTTTGAAAAAAACATTTCGCGCACCTTTGAAATCAAAGCAAAATAAAAAAAGCAATATTTCCAAAAATATTCAAAAAGCTAAGTTAGATCTTTCTATGCAACACAATTCTTCTCGTAATGTGGCAGTAAAAAGCATTGTAAAAAGACATCAAAGTCGTTTAGGATATAAAAAAACGGACATAATGGATGAAGCTAATTGGTTGATGAATAAATTTCAACCTACTAACAAAAACGAAAATATGTACTTGTCGATTGTTAACGATTTTAATCATATGCCTTCAATCATTGATAAAATTGAAGGTAAAGGTCCTTCAGAAGATATACATGAAATAGGTGAAGGTCAGGGAACGCAGCAACACCATCACCATCTCACTTATGCAAAAGACTCGACGAATACTATACACTCTCTAAATATTCAACCGCATTACGATGATAGTTTAAAATCACGCGATAGTCAAAAATTAGCTCAGACTTTTGTAACAGAAATTGGGGATGACAATCAGGTTACGCTCTCCAGTAAAGGAAAAGACACAAATTTATTTACATTAGGCAGAATTTATCCACAAAAATTTAGCAATCAGTTGACTGATGATCCAAGTAACCAATATATCGATGAAAATTTAGATCAAAGCAAAATAACATACTCTAACACTGTAAACAATCAGTATGGTGAAAAAATGCAATTGTCTCAGTATCAAAACGAAGCAAGTATTGACAAGCTTGATCAGCTAAATCATAAAGAACACCCAATTCATATTTCATTGAATCCTGGTAGTATTTCAAAAAAAGATTACGAATATCTTACAAAAAATACTCCATATTTAGCTTCCAATTATCCACTTTCAAAAACTTATAATAATGAAAAACAAATGATTTACGGTAATATAGATAAGGAAACTATGGCTCCTAATTCCCTAATGACTAATCAACTCAACGAAATCAATTTATCTGAAGTTCCTGCTACTGAAATAAATTTTGTTCCAACTCCTGCTAGTGAATTGAGTTTGTCTCCATTTCTATCTAAATCTTTTACAGAATATAATTCATTTCAAGCTCCTTCTTTTGAGAGAAACTTGCTTCCAAGCTCTACTAGTGAGGTGAGTTCATCTAATTCCCATTACTCTGATCCAACTTTGTTTAATTTTCCCAGTGAAGTCAAATCGTTTCAAGTTCCTGTTAGGAAGGTTAACTCACATCCTGTTCTTTCTAATTCTATCAGTGAAGTTAACTCATTTCAAGTTCGAGCTAACAAAGCAAATCTGCCTCCGGCTTCTCTCACCGAAGGGGTTTCTTCTTTAGTTTTATCTAATTTAAAAAGCGAAAGAAATATCAACTCGCAATTTTTCAAACGTGCATATAATAATAAGTATAACATAGTTGCTTTAAATAAAAATCAAAATGAAGATTTTTTAAAAAAGGTTAACAAAGGTGAACATAGTTGGCTAGTGAAAAGAAAAATGAAAGAAAAATATTTAACTAAAAACCAAGATAGTGAAGCAAAACAAAATACACTCAAAAAAAATAAACATGCAAAAAAAGGAAAAAACTACAAAGAAAAAACTGGTTTGTACAAGCCAATCAGTATAGCTTCTGTGCTGGACCAAGATAACAGTCCGAGTCCAAAACTATTACATCGAACTAATGATTGGCATTCTGGCCATGAAAAAGGAACTCATACTTTAGGTGGTGACGGACATGGTGGCGTATTAAAGAAGTTAGGTGACGATAGGACCTTTGATCGAGGCAAAACTAAGGAAAAAGAGGAAGATGACGAAGATGAAGATGAAGAAGATTTTGAGAATGAAGATGAGTTTAAGGAAGAAACAAAAAAAGAAGAAACCTATGAACATGATCACGATGATCATGAAAATCATTCATTTAAACATCAGACTTATCATGAGCATCATCACGATGAAGATACCGGTGAAGGTAACGAACGTAGCCATCGTCATCATCAAAATGATCATCACCATCGTCACGATTATGATGATGATAAAAATGAAGACATGATGATGCAAGATCGCATGGGGTTAGATGACAGGTCCACATTGCAAAAAGAGCAAAATAATGACCTTTTAGCAGAAGTAATTGATAAATTATCTTATCGTGATTCATTAATAGGCTCGAATTTAGGAATTCTCACAGTTCCTGCGATTTGTAAGGATGAACAATGCATAATTAGAGACAATTTTCCTATTTATAATTCTAAAAATTATGATCATTTAAAAGATCAAAACGCATATGGAACCGGCGGTTTGAAAAAAAAAGTTCGAAATAATGATAAACGTAAATTCAGTTTAGAAGAATTTAATAATTTATACAAACATAAAGAGTATAGTTCTTTTTACATTTCCAATGATAAAAAGTTTATTTCTCCCCAAACAAATTTGGAAAGTTTTGATATTACAGAAAATATTTATCCCACTACGAAGCACACAGATAGAGTGGGAAAACGTAGGAGAAAAATGCGTTCGGTTGAAGTTGAAAGTTTGTCAGGTGATAACACATCGTCTAACTTCACACTTAATTATACCTCTACTGAAAAAATAGACACAGTTAATGTTACGAATGTTTCCAATAACCAAACTCTCTATGAACTTAATAATAGTAATACTTCAGAAAGTATAAATTTCAATATAAAACCCAACTACGAAACAATTACGGCACTAAAAAGCAAACATATAAAAAACCGACCAAAGCGGACGCGCAAACGACGCAAAAAGAAACGAATTTACAAACACAAGTATAAACATCACCATAAAAAAGCTCCAAGTTGGGACTGGAGTTTTTCTGGAGATGATGATAATTCTGAAGATAACGTCCAGAATTTTGACAACGACCTGCATAAAAAAAATCGACCAAAGAGTTACGGTAAAAGAACTTCTCGCCGGAAGGTACAAAGAAAACATTTCCACAAAAAACATCAGGATCTAAATGCAGAAGAAAAAAATTATCATTTTAATAAAATGAAAACACAAAGAGGCTCTGATGACTTGTACAATGAACGTGCTGATCCTGAATTTGATTCAAGCTATATCTCTCAGAACACACAGAAAATCGGTAACAATTCTTATGATATTTCACCTCAAAGCTATTATAGTGTTGAAGATACATCTGATAAATACGCCGAAAATCCAACAGACGAAAGTTTATTAAATGATGGATATTACCCAGGTATAAGAAATCAAGAATCATTTCGTAAGGAATATAGTAATATGCCATCCGAATTTCTAACTGAAGTTAACTCCTCTCTTTTGCAATCTAATCTAAGTGGAGACAAATCTGGAATTCCAGAAAAAATGCACGTTTTTAAGTCGCAGAAACAAAAGATTTATAATAATGATCAATACAGGTTGTTAGAAAACCAGCCAACAAGATTGCTAGACAGGTTAAATGAAATAAGTAATGAAGCGTTGCAAAAACCACAGGCCCGATTTTCCTCACCTCAAGTAATTGAATCCGGTGACGAACAGCAGTTGTTATATTTTCCTAACGATTTAAGTACTAACTCTGTAAATACACCTTTTGACGGATCAGCATCTATTGAAACTGGTACAAATGAGTATATACAAATCAAGCCAAATACAGTTGATTTTTCCAAGTCCCAAGGCACAGGATACACTAGAGATACTTTAAATAGAAATGATAAATCGGAGTTTTCTAATTTTATATACAATAACGAACCAATGAATGTTCCCAAGGTTACAGATAATGAAGATATGACAACAAAGTACTTACACAAAGTGCAAACAAATGACGATACAAATCAGCATGATTACTCGAATGTTCCGGAGTTTGATAGTAAGTCGTTAGATTCCGATTATTTATCGAGATTATATCCTGAAAGAATTCGTAAAATAGAGCAACAGCGATTTGCAGAAAAGGTGACAAAAGAAACCAAAGAATTGTCACATTTGTTCGATGACATAAAGCTTCATGACGATAAACAACCTGAAGAGAAATTTGTGGGTGAAGTTACTCATTTAGTCGGTACAAAATGGGGTTTGGAAGGTAACATGGGGTATAAAGTTCATTATCCGCACATAAGACGAAATAAAAACAAAGAATATCGCAAGTTGATTGTGAACCTCAATGAACCAGGTGTCCCCATGGATGCTCCTTACTCTCCTCCAAATAACTTTCAAAGTCTAAATGATGGGCATCGAAGAAAATCTAATGATCATGACGATGAAAACAGTCACCGTCGAAGCATTGAATGGTATTTAAAAAAAACTCGTGGTAAACTATCAAATTTTCACAGAAAATCTCATCCAATAATAAATCTCAATAAAAATATAACGAAACACAAAAAAAGTTTTCATCACAAAAAGCCCATAATAGGTAAATAAAAGTGGCTGTTTCGTTTGGTTTGCGTAGAGAGAGGTTTGCGAAAGAGGTTGTTGATTTAATGTGGTCGTATTAGTGTAACTTTTTCCACACAAAAAAAATTATTTCTCAAAAGTTTGAGTAAATTTTTCAAACCACATTTTCATGTGTTATTTGTTAGTTTAAATTCATTTAAACTATATTTTCATAAGAAGTGAGTGAGAGGTTACGACATTTTATTTTCATTTTCAACTTTTCAATTGAGAAAACTTATAAAGGTTTTGGAATCCACCTTTTAATTGAAAATAACCAAGCACTTGTTGTTTCTTAGAGAATTTTTGTTTACTTCATCACAATTATGCATTTTACAAATACAGCTCTTAATTTACTTGACACTGGCACTGTCATAGTATTTAAAAATATTATTTATTCTTAATTGAGAAGTGAAAATTTTCTAAGAAGAATATTTAAAAAATATTCTTTATATTTTTTATTAGTTTTGTATCTTTGTATTGTTTGCTGTTTATTTTGTGAGTATTGTGGTATAATATGATTGTTTTTATTAAAAGCAACAAAAAATGTTTCTTTATAAATATATATATATATATATATATATATATATATATATATATATATATATATATATATATATATATATATATATATATATATATATATATATATATATAATATAGTGCTCAAAGTGAGGCGGGATGCCATCCGGATGCCATGTATGTATATATGTATATGCATATGTATATAATATGCATGCAGTGCATTGAATTAGTGGCAATTTTTGATGTGTGCTTATTTGCGTAGTTTATTTAAATACGGCTATTTAATTGTAAAAACTTAAATAATTGTTACCATTAATTAATGATATTTTTTATTTGTATATTATAATTTATACCCATAATATAATTTTAGGCAATCGAAACACTTCTTTCACCGACCAAATTATAAATGTCAAAGATGATTTTAAACGCAAGCAGATAAAGCTTGGTATTCTTAAAAAAAATGTTAATATTAAAAAATTAGTTTTGAAAGATAGAATAAAGAGCTTTAATTTTGGAAAAACAACCAATAAATTTCAACAAGAAAATAATTTTTTGCAAAGAGCTTTCAAAAAATCATTAGATGATGCAGTTTTGCAAACAGACGAAGATAATAAACCAATTCTGACTGGATTATTTAGTTTTAAACCTCCTACTCTCCGCGGAAATGTTGGGAAATTTAAAAATAGTTTTAAAAATGAGTCACTCAAAAAATACAATACACCTTATGTGCATGAAGATGAAGATGAAGATGTAGATGAAATGTTTAAAACAGGTGAACATGGTTTTAAAAAAAATCAAGACTTTAGAGATGACAAAGATTACAATACGCTTGATATGCAAGAAAGTAAGAACACGGAAAATGAGAACGAAGTTCCGTTTAGAGCAGGTAATGATATTAAAAATGGACAATACAAAGAGAAAAGTTATATACACGATGGAAATTACACACATGATCAAGATGAAGACGATGAAGAAAACTCTAAAAATGATATTCTGTTAGATCATTTTAAAAAACACGAGCGTTTCAATTATAACAAGAAAGATACACCTAACATACGCGAAGCAAAAATTGACATTGATGAAACTATGTATAAAACAGATAAATATAGATTTCTAAATAAAATGAAAAACCACAATTTGCAACCCAGACATGAAAAAGAGGACTCTATTGATTTTGATGAAGCTCTGCATAAACCAGGTAAAAGCTTTAATAAAAATAAGCGTCTAAAAGATAATGAGGTGGATTACAATATGCCTTACAAACATGAAAGACATACTTTGAAAGATGCGAATAGAACTCCCTATAAAACGCATAAAAATGAACGTCTCAATGATGAAACTAAAGGTTATAACAAACTGTACAAACTAGAAAAAGAAAACACTAAAAGTATTGATGAATCAAAACACGCGTACCATGAGGGAAAACTGAGAAATAAAGATCAACAGTATTCGTATTTTCCGCTCGACGACCATCCTGCTCATTATCTTTTTCGACATATTGCGCGTGGAGGGTCAGTTCAAAATTATGATCCACAAAAAAGTATTAACGAGTATTTAAAAAACCACGATCCTAATCACGTGCGTCATCAATTTCATTACGGATTACAAAAGCATCATCATCTGCATAAAAATCATCCAAACCCATTTATAAAAGAGGATCCCCTCGAATCTAGTTTTTTTAATTCTGCTCTGAACACTTTTGATTCATTTCGCGAAAGCAATGTTAATTTCAAAACAGTAAAACGATATAAACTAACAAAACATATTGACCTCAACAAAAGTAAGATTAATTTGCGAAAACCCGCGTCACAAAAAACAAAAAATGGCTCAAGCAAAGCTTTTTCGTCAAATTTATCGCTTGAAAATAAAAATAAAAAAGATAAACGTTTAGATGCGGTCAGGAACAAAACTCAAAACTCAAGTGATTACAAAAAACATGCCCCGACAAGTGACAACAATAAACAAAAGGGACAAACTAAAACTAGCGAGTTAGCAAAAACGTCAAATTCATTTAAAAAGAACATAATATTTCGAGTTAAAAGATCAAAGACTAACATTGTGAAACCTCAAAACAATGAAAGTGATAATGATCACTTATTTTTTCAAACCATTGGAAATGAATCCGAAGATATTCCAAATATCAGGGAAACGGCAGTTTCTTCAAAATTGTCATCGTCAACGAAGTTATCTGATAACTATGCAAGTTTTCACCAGGTTAAATTTGAAGGCTCGTCTGATACCCCTCTGGAAAAGTCACCAAGTGCACTAAAAAAGGTGTGTAAATACGTTAAAGAATCTCAACTGTTGACTTCTGAAGCAAAGGTTCCACTGAAAGAAGAAAATGTACCACCATTTCTAACAACGCCGAAACCTTTGAAAGACTTGAAACTTTATCAAATGTTAACTTCAGAACAGTTTGAGGAAAAACAAGATTATTACAAAAAAAAACCTCCAAAAAAAATGTGTAAGTATATTGAAGAATCTCAACTTTTGACTTCTGAAGCTAAAATTCCACTAAAAGAAGAAAATGTACCACCGTTTCTAACAACACCCAAACCTTTGAAAGACTTGAAACTTTATCAAATGTTAACTTCGGAGGAACTTAATGAAAAACCAGATAGCTACAAAAAAAAAGCGAAAGACTTTAGTGATAATGACGACTCAGAACTTTTAACATCCGAAGGAAGTCCTTGTCACCATTATGATCAAGGGGATGACGAAGAACTTGCACATCCGGATAAGCATCCATTTTCGGAGGCAAAGAATAATACATCTGCCTTTTTTGAATCTCTGAAATTAAAAAAAATATTTCAATTAAAATCTTCAACAGATTCTTCATTATTTAAGAATTCTAAAAGTTTCCAATCTTTAAATGACAACAAAGGTTACGTATCTAAATATCGATTACTCAAGAAACTTTTAAATGAGTCTAGCATGATTCAAGATAACGATAAAGATTTATTGGTTGAAAAGCCAACGTTAGCACCACTAAACATTCTTCATTCTAGTTCTAAAAGCCATTCTTTAGAAGAATCTCAAAAACTCAAAGTACTCCCAATGGTTTCTCAAGACTCTCCTAAAGAGAACCAATTTTCTTCTAAAAATACATCTGTTGTTCTGGGTATAAAGGAGAATACAGCAATACAAGATGAACAAGTAGTAAAAAATCAATCTAATTTTACAAATGTCAAAAATAAAATGGATACAGATTATAAACTAACTTCTTTTAAGACAAATACAATAGACAATGAAAAGAACCCGAAAACAGAAAAATATTACGAAACGGCTCTTAAGGCTTTAAAAAATATTAAACTTCCTTCCAATCAATAATTTCTTTGGCTGAAAATAAACAAACTTAGCCAATCAATAATTCTTTCGGACGATAAAACGTAGCCAGACGAATTCTACAAATCGTTTGATTTTTCTCCGAATTAAAATATAAATTATATAAAAATATTACTTTCGCTATGATAAATTTGAAAGAAACTAGGACCTGTTGGATTACTTATTATGAATACTTATTTTGTTTTATTTCTAAAAACTGAATAGGTGATTACAGTAACATTGAGCAGTAAAATATTGGGATAAAATATTGATAAAGATATTTATTGAGATAGAAAAAACTTTGTTTAATCCTTCAAAATAATGCACAATTTGTAATACATGCAGTCAGCCATTTACTATGCATAATGTAACACTCGATGTGAATTTTAACGTGTATTTTTGTAACGTCCAATGTCAAATCTATGTAACGCCCAAGGTTAAATGTATGTAACGCACTCTAGTAACTGTTTGTAATGCTCACTGTGAACTTTTTGTAATAATTTGTAAATATATTATTAGCTTAGATTTACATGCGTTTATACTGTGCTTATGATCGGCAGACTAAAGCATATAAATCCTAATTTTATCGTTTATTGTTTTGACTTTAGTTTGGCTGCTTTAGTAGCTTTAGTTTGGCTGCCCGAAAACAACAATATTAAAATATTAAACAAAGCAAAATGAAATTGAAATTTTAAGAAGCGCTAAACAAATAAAAAATACAGTAAAGTTATTGAAAAATAAATTCAATATTAAAAAAAATAATGTAAAATTACTAGAAAAAATGAATTTTTAAAATATATTGAAATAAAGAAAAGGTATAAACCAAAAAAACAAAAAAAGTGATACATAATTATGCGAAATGTTGTATAATTATATTTACATATTTTCTATAAGTATGAACACATACATATTTCTTATATTGAAAGAATATCTCTAATAAAAATATAACAACATATTACGTAAACATTATACACAACATTATACGCAACATTACAAAAAACTTCATATTTTTCAGATTTTTTTTTCATATTTCTGAACATTATGTGCAAAACATACTGATATTTTTTTAAACATACTGAGATATTTGAAAAAAAAAAAAAAAGCTTATAGTTTGCTACACTATTAAAAGATGAAGTCCGTGCATCCGTGGCGCAGTGGTTAGAGTTACTTTTCCAGCGATAAGACCGATAAGTCTTCTTGGAGCACCTTAATAACATGAAGAAAAAAAAACAAAGAAAAAGTATAACTAAATTAAAAAAAAAGAAGCATAAACAAATTAAAAACAAAAAGCACAAGTAAATTGAAAACCACCACGATTGTATTATGGTTCTTTTTTATGGTTTTTCTTTTTTATGGTTTTTAAATTCTGTTTTATAGTCCAATTTAAAAGTTTTTTCTGCATACAGGGGCCGTTCCGAAGAGATTTTAATGGAGAGGTGGCGTATCTTTTTTTGCCGACTAAAGCCAAAAAAATTTTTTGTCCGACCAACTTATCTAAAAAAAAAAAAAAGTTATCGTTGGACGAAATTTGCCGACTGCCAACTATAGATCCAATTTTGCCGACTCTTGTGTCCAATTTGCCGATTAGTAAAATTCTAGGCTCCCTACGAATTTATACTAATCCCAAACATTTTTTTTTTTTTTTGCAAATAAAAAAATCTTCAGATAACTTTTGCGGAAGATACAAATATGGACGCATGTTTTTATATTAGGCTATTTCGACTTTCATTGTTGTTTTGAGTCTTTCCTTATAAAATATGGTTTTATGTTGTTATGTTTTCATGTTGACAGTAAGATTTGTTTTAAAGAAACATATTATTGCGTATGCTGCTCAGCTTAAGGTGGTACTAAAGCTATTATTAAAATGTTAAATAAAGTATTAAAAAGTTATTAATTAGAAGTTTTATATATATAAAACTAAAATATACAAATTTTGAAATAATTTGTAACAAAAAATTTTTCTTTGCCTCGCTTACACAAATCTAAAAACACATAAAAAGAAAAATACGCAGAATGCAATATCTCAAGATAGGGTCATTTACTTGCTCCAAAACTTTACAATAACATAGGTCCCATAATGATGTAGGAGTTGTACTAGAATCATCTACTGTATACATACAGTTTAGGAGTAAAGGCAATTTTATCTTATTGAACCAGCTGCGGGTGTCAGGTGGGGGACATATCTGGCATTATTTCATGAACTATTTTGTATTAAAACTTAATTCTAGTACAACTCCTGCATATGAGTATCATGAATACATCTTGAAAATTTCATTGTAGTTGCACCTTTAGATCTTGAGATATTTAATTTTGTGTAATCGTGTATATTGAAAATATTCAAATGGCAAAAAACATGTTTTAAAAACAATAAACTTTCACAGTCAACTACCAACCACCAATAGAATAAGCTGGTAGTTTTTCTGATTCATTTTCAATGTCTGAGTAACCCTTTCTTATATTTTTAAGGATTTTTCTTTGTTTTTTTGATGATTTTCTCCTCATATTTCTGATTCGTTCATTGTTTTTTTTAATAAATTCTTTATTCATAAATTGTCCGACAGGAACTTTTAAACATTCAAAAACTTTGCAAATACCAGTAGCACCTTCATTAAACTGTAGTATTGCAGATGAAACTCCAATCTCCAAAACCTTTTTTTCCAACAAAAGTATTTTTAGAGCATTTTTTCCATAGTATAGAATTTAAAACTTCATTGTTGTTTTGAGTTTGTCCGTGTAAACATTTGGAAAGTAACTCATCACTTGAAAGATCATGAAAAATTGGGAGAAGAACAGCTTTGATTGACAATGGTATATTCAATGTGGGTTTGTATTTGTTTTGATCATTAAATCTATCTGTTTGCCAAAAGCACCAACTGTTTTTGGATTGAGGGCAGAATTGATGGCGTTCGATGGGATTACTTATATTATTATTATGAAATAACACAGCCTAAACAGATTTCTTCATTGGGTATAATAGTTTATTCTGCCTAATTGCCATTCCATAGTAATTTTGAAGTTTATTTATAACTTTATCTGTCAATCTTCCTGCCCCATTAAATTTTTTTCTATCACTTAGTTTTTTTCCCTTCATACTTTGAAGCAAACTGCGGCATTTGCCATGTACCATCAACTGAGACCTGGCAATTTGTAATGCTATTGTTATCAAAAGTATTGGTAGGAAGTAAACTCTTTGTTTCTAAAGCTGCATTGCTCATACTTTCTGAAGCTGCATCGTTATAAAAAGTATGTAATTTATTATTTATTAATTGATATCCAGGAAATGGTAATGGTGTCAGCATGTTCATAATGTTAGCAAATGTACGGATTCCCTGATAACCTTGATCAATCTCACGAAAAGCTATAACCATTTGATAATTAATGCAGCTTACAGCTTTTCCTAAAGTAAGTTTATTTGTTTTCTGTGAGCATTCAAATTCATATTTCCAGTCACAATTTGTGCAATTCAAACATAGAAGATAAGAAAATCCCTTTTTTTTCCGAAATTGTTTGATAAAGTTACTGTTTTCTTACATTTAGGACAAAAAATAAATTTTACAAGCTCATTCTGAAGAATTGAAAAGTTTATTAAAAAGTTATAATCATCGTTGTTACTAAATGAACTACTGCATTTTTTCTTTCTAAGTTTTCTTTCACTTGAACAAGGTTTTTCGATTTGCATGGTTTTATCATCAAGTTTGTTGTTTTTTGTGAATCTGTTACCTTTAAACTTCATCTTTTTCTTTGCTTTTAAAGACTTTGGCATTTTTAAAAACCAACTAATATACTTAATAAATGTTTTTACAATTCTAAGTTACTTAAATAATCGTAAACAATTCATGCATATTGGTACAACTACTAGATAGATATTAGATATATCCTGTGGAGTCCCCCAGGGTTCCATACTTGGAGCAAATAAATAAGGAACAGCACCAAACAACCAATTATTGTATTTGTAGTTAGGTGTCTACTTCACTTTAAAATTTGAAACTTTCAGTCGTGACTTAATGAAAATAATGTAATTTTAGCTAATGGATTTTAGACATTTTATCAAAAAAAAACTTATTTGTAAGATTCAATGCGACCCCCTGTTTAAAAACATGGGTGCATAACTAAATATTTGGGCAAAACCAAATCTTGCTTGGCGTTGCTAAGGCGTTGCTAAGCAATTAAAATTATACCTGGTTTTTTAAAAATCTTATATCTCCTAATACTATTAAAAAAACATATCAAAGTTATACATATTTGAAACCAGCATTGAATTCTACATATAATGAAATAAAAATCCCAAAATCGTTTTTTTTATGATTTTAATGCTTTAGTACCACCTTAACATCGCACACCGCCTCAAAGAAGTCAGAGAATGGCCAAAACTATTTATCTATCAAAAAACAACATATTATACATATTGACCACTCTGACAGGCATGCTACCAGCTGTGTGATACATATATTTACTTACGATGTGTTAATTTTTTTTTTTAATTCAAAAAAGGGAAGGAAGTTGATTTTAATGAAAAATTATATGGGGATACCGAATCTGCAAAAAAAAAAAATAATAATGATGTCTTTCGTGGGTGGACCATTCGTTATAAACGGGAAATTAACTATAATGTGACAATTTAAAGGAGAAAAATTATAGCTAAAAAAAACACTTTCTTTGTCATTTTTTTTTTTTTTTTGAAAAGCTTACTGTTAATTAGGTCGAATTAAAAATAAAATCATATTTAGTTGAAAAAGTTATAAAAATGACCACATAAACTGAGTTTTTGTGGATGATGATTTTAGAAGAATTAAATAGATTTTTTATTTTTTGGACAGGGAGCTTGACCGTAGGTGTTACAAGGTTGTATAAGGTTGTTATAAGGTTACCAGGTGTATTGGTTGTATAAGGTGTTAAAAGGTTGTATTAAGTTGTTACAAGGTTACAAGGTGTTACAACTATCTTTTTGATGTAATATGTATATCAGAAACTTGAAACTTTTGCAAATTCGCGCATGTCCTAAAATTCACGCATATCCAAAAATTCCCTATACAATTTAGATTCATATAAACTGATAAGTCGATCACGTGTAATCAGCAAGGGAGGTAGCGTTGCAGTTTGCGTTGCAATTCTTGATAAATTTGAATTTAAAAAAAACAACACATTTTCAATAACATATAGACATATTGAAACTTTGTGCATTGAAGTGTTAAATACTTCTGGTATTTAATCTTCTCATTGAAAAAATCCCACTTCTGGTTTTTAATCTACTCATTGTATCGAACGCCATGCGGTAAAAAAGTTAACTTTTTACCTTATTTTATGTCTCAAATGAGTAAACAAAACAAGCACATTTTCTTCGCGGGAGATACAAATATGGACGCATGTTATGAAAAGTTTGCAAACATAAAAAACGTTTACAATTTACTATTTGAATTTAATATAATACCCACCATATTTAAGCCCACATGCATTATTAACCAATCATTTTCTGTGATTGACAATATTTTAACAGTTCCCTAAATACTAAATTTGAATCAGGCCTTTTTA